AAGATTTGTATTTGGAGATTTTTATTTGGAAATTTGTTGTTCGAGATTTGCTTTTCGTTGTATGTCTCTGATCAAATGTAAATGTAGGCTAAATTTTTGATTTTCTAAAATAAATTTCGTCTTATATTAGTGTACAAATTAATGAAGAAATAAGAATTAATAACCATTAATTAAGAAAAAACAACTAACAATACTGAATAATGAGCTGTTTGACATTCCATAACTATATTCCGCAGACAGACTCGTGTGACGTTTTCGTTCAATAAGGTCGGAGACGCGGGTCAAATAGTAAGTGCAAGTGGGACCGCACTACACGCAAAACAAAACCTACAAGACAAACCCGCGGACAGGACAAACCCGCGGACAAGATAAACAGCAGAGACATAGTAAGAAATAAACAACAAATATCACATCAAGTGAATGGATCAGGGGGACCAGTCGTCAGCGTCAAAAAAAAAAAATGATTTACAAGAAAAACGTAATGCGACCGGTCTTAGCGTGGCTTAGCGCTGTCGTGTTCTGAATGGCGATAGTCTGCCAGATGACGTCATGGGTGAGAACGTCAAAACTTTTTCAAAAATAAGGACGATAATCAGGACATACTAGACCTAAATCTGCCCATTGCAGGTCTGAAATGTTGTCAAAATTATTAATTAGACATTAATTAACTTATCTAAACCATAATCAACTCTAGATGCCTTCTTATGTGTCGGATTTTCACTGGATATTCGAGTAGAAAGATCGGTTGTTGGAATCTTTTTCCCAAGACTTTGAAGATTTATGAACCAATTAGGCTAATAACCCACTCCCGGCATTATCTCTCTAGAAGTGCCTTTATTATATTACTAATTCCATATCTGGTGAATAACGAACAACAAACCAACTGGTTGTTCGTTATTCTACAGTAGAAGAACTAAAACTCTGCTATAACAATATGCACGTGAGAACCACACTAGAAATTATTAAGCCATTCACAGTTTTTGAAACGCATCCTTTCTGTCAAGAAATGGCAGAAATGTCACACCAAATATTCGAAACTGAAATAGGGTTTAACAATGTGCTATGAGGGAAATTGTGCCGAGACAGTGGAGCTACGGCCGACTCTTATATCGAATTCCAACTGTCAAGGGTTCTTTTACCAGCATGTCAACGATTATACGCTGTTCCTTGCCAGGCCCTTTCCGTCCTACACCAATGACAAGGCGGAGCCAGGCAGGGATCGAACACGGGACATCTTGGTTAGCGAACCAACGTCTTACTCACCGAGCCAACGTGGCTCCCCAGACAGTCTGACATTTGTAGTGGATTGAAATGTAAAACAAGGAAACCAAATCAATAATTTCTAATAGTTTTAATCAACATATATATTTACATAGGGGTGTATATAATTATATTTAAATAAAAACAGGTGCCCGATATTTAATACAGGTATTACATATATAATACAGAATATATATAATATCACGGTATTTGTTTTAATATGCACCATGTTTAAAAACAAAGCCTAGATATCATATCAAATACACCGGTATCAAATACACACAGAACTCGATTAAAATTATTTATATAACAATAGGTGTCACGTTATGTCTAGAAATTTCTTATAGATGAAATTAATTAATATGTTGTCTAAAGATAATAAAGGAGTAGGGTTGCCTGTCTAACCTCGTGGGTTTCTCCACGTCCACGTACTGCTGAAGATCCCTACGCGCAAGCGAATTAATGAAATAAAATTAAACCATATGTTAGTCCCAAAATGACCTAGTTTTTGTTAAGTAGACGTTAAACTCCATCTCTCTCTCTCTCTCTCTCTCTCTCTCTCTCTCTCGTTATTACGAAATGGGGGGGGGGGGTGTTGGATGGCCGAACGGTTAGCACGTGTGTTCTGCATCATAAAGCCTGTCATTGAGTCAACTGGCGTGGTTTAGAATCCCCGGTTGTACGTGACAAGGAGTAGGGTCGCCTGTCCAACCTCGTGGGTTTTTCTCCGGGTCCTCCTGTTTCCGCCCACTGCTAAAGGAAGACCCCTACGCGCAAGCGAATTATTGAAATAAAATTAAACCATATGTTAGTCCCGAAATGACCTAGTTTGTGTCGAGTGGACGTTAAACCCCATTTCTTTTTCTCTCTCTATTACGAAATAACTATCTCTCTCTCGCGCTCAAAATATTTAATTTAAATATGTGAATCTCCTGCAAGGTAGAATATATTGTCAAAGTTAAATCAGTAATGCTCGGTTCCCATTATCACGACTCGTGCTACGATTGAAATCATGGTTTTAATCGTGGAGTAATCGTGGTGATCCTATCAGGTCTTATCATATATTGAAGTCAGTCGAACTAATCGTATTGATCGTATCGAAACATATCCGAACGTATCTGCATCTACCAGATCGCGCACTAAATAGGGATAATCCTTTTGTAACGCAGCTCACGACAGTGGAAACCTAGCAATAGGCACATCTGTCCAAAAATCACACGACAGTGGAAACCTAGCACATCTGTCCTTATAAAATCATTCCGTTCCGTTCAGATATTGTGAATAGAAAATCTGAAAACAAGTCAGTGACACCTAGAAATGTTGGTTAAAATACTTTGATGGGCTTAATTCTAATGAATATAATTAACTCCGGAGATTATCTACGGTTAATAAGTTGTTTTAGAATTCTTAATTAAATGTTGGATAATCTGTTTGACGAGATAATCCAATGCAACACCACTTTAAATCTTTTAAGTATCTCGAATTGTAAGCAGAATTGTTTTTCGATAAATCAGTTTCTTTTTTAATACGATCACAATACTCGTAATGTTCATTTCTCAATTAAACATACATTATGCAAGAGCTAAATCTGCTTCTTGCATGTCTTTCTTTGGGCCTGGAATGTTAATCTTAATTATTAATTAGACATTAATTAACTTATCCAAACCGTAATCAACTCTCGATGTCATCTTATGGATAATCGAGACTATGTCTTTTATCGTACCGACTTTAGTAATGATGATCGAGGCTAGACCAAAAATTCAATCTGTAATACTCGGTTCAGGGTGGACCAATTTGACTGAAATTTTCAATAAATTCCCTTTACATCATCTAGTTTTTTTAACTATTATAATGAGAACAGCCAGCTCTTTATCTAATCTCCCATAATGTATCTATAATCGATTGATCCGCTAACATTCCTTTACAAGAAGTTAAAATACATGATTGTATGTTATTGACTTATTGTAAGTACTATTGGGTCATTCTCAATTATTCTAGTGTCCCGTTAATATTCTCGTTTAAAACACCTAAACTATATAACCATAGGCATATTGTTAGTAATATTGGATCATTATCAATTAATCGATTGACCCGGTAATTATAGAACCAGTGTAAGTTATATACTGTTGGGTCATTCTCAATTAATCGAGTGTCTCGTTTAAAACACCTAAAATATATAATGATGGGCATATTGTTAGAACTGTTGGATCATTGTCAATTAATCGAATGTCCAGTTGATATTCCCATTTAAAAACCTAAACTATATAATCATTATGAGTTATTGACATATTGTCTGAACTATTGGGTCATTCTCAATCAATCAAGTGTACCGCTAATATCCCCATTTAATAAACTTAAATTGTGTACTATTATAAACGTTCTACCTGACTATAGCATGTTTTGATGTTATAAGTCACAACTAGTGATTTGCTCTTGCAGATTGATATATTCTTAATTAATCGGTTGATATTCCTATTGACGAACGTAAAGGGGACAAGTCTTAATCTCAATATTATCCACAGTCCTCGACATTGCAAACACGACTTATTGGTTAATTTAAATCAACATTGATGTGGTTTTCTTACCGGGAAAAGATGGGCTTCTGGTATCCAATATTTAAAACAAAATAAACATTTTACCATTGGTACACAGATCGCGTGCCAGAATGCTTTCGAGCGCCATTTCTAATGAAGCGACTCGGTGAACGAGGCTAAACATATTCCACAGGAGAATACTATCGATTTAGACTGGAATAACCAAACGTCAAAGACTGTCATTCAATTTGGACACTTAGCGTATTTTGCCGAACATAACTGATTAGAAATTAAAGTAAAAACAAAAACGATTAAATGTAAAATCAGTTTATATACATTCATATTACATTATTATATGCGTTGCGACCCATTTGTGTTCATTTCTAGGTGCCAAATAATAGGGATTTAGGGTTAGGTCTATTTAATAAGGCCAACTCACTTTCTGTCATAGGTCAAGAGATGTAAACAGGTCTAGCGCTAATCCCAACCCTAATCCTAACCCTGGACTAGCCCCAATGCTTACTCTAAACTCTACAATCTCGCTAACAATCACGTGTCCTAACCGTATTTACATCTCAACGACCTTGACGAAAATTAAGCTGGCCTTAACAAATAGATATAGTCGGGATTTAAATCCTTTAAGATCAAACATGATTGTAAAATTGACATATTGTTGGGCCTATACTATTGATAGTCCCCAAATCACCTAGTTTGTGTCGATTGGACGTTAAACCCCCCCCCCCCTCTCTCTCTCTGTACTATTGAAGAATTAACAGATAAATAGAGACTGTACGATTGACATATTGTTGAGCCTATACTATTGAAGAATTTAAGATAAATAATGATATATTGTCCGGTCTATACTATTGTAGTTTGCAAACTTTCTATGGTGTTTATCTACCGTCTGTCACATCATACGTCACAACTAGCTAACCATTGTCGTATTATTGTATTCACAATTAATCGATTATTGTTAGAATTAAAGGCAATAAAAAATACTTGACAAGATCCAATCAATAAAACCATCAATTATTGTTTAAAGTTGAATACTCTCTCTCTCTCTCTCTCTCTCTCTCTCTCTCTCTCCCTCCCTCCCTCTCTCTCTCTCCCTCCCCCCTCCCTCTCTCTCTCTCGCTCTCTCTCTCTCTCTCTCTTACATATAAGTAAAATTCAAATATCAGAGAAAAGACACAAAAAATTAAATTTTTGGCTAGTACTTTCATCGGTATTAAACGAATCGTCAGGCCATTTTAATGCGTTACTATTCTGGTTACACTAACGTTACGTCATAACAATGACATGTAAAATATATAAAAAACTAAAACGAAATAACATTTATTAAACATCAAACATAATTGAAATAACCAACCCTTAGCATTCAAAATTGGGCTATATTTAGTGATAAAGTTGCTATATACAGTTATATAAACTATACAGATTGTAATCTGTATATTGTCCTATCTTAAGATGGAAATCGATATCATATATTGGTTATACTGTATATTGGACAGTGTTATTCTTGTTTACAATATTATATATTGTTTATATTTAACTCAGCATGTTGTACCTGTTTATAGATATACTGATATATGTGACTGTCGTTTGGCTGTCCGTCTGTCTGGCTGTCTGTCTGTCCTTTGCCTGTCTGTGTACAGTTCTGGCGGCTACACTAGGGCTGGCCCAGGGGTAGCTCGGATCGGGAAAGTAACATCGGCCTGGTGGCAATGGACTATCACTTCCGGTTTCGGAGTTATGCTACTTCCGGTATATGGTTATATCGGTGCTACAACGGACCAACCGATAGTTATAAAATAAAAGAAAGAAAAACATAGAAATAAATTATCAGACAGAAGCCATAGAAATAAAGCAGGTGGTCGTCTGCTGAATGGCTACAGTCTGTCAATTGACGTCATTACTTTGAAGGTCACAAAATTAACAATAATAAGGGCGATAATCCAGATAGAACACTAAACACGGTAAAGATGAACGATTCACGAATAAAAATAAATAAAGTGTTTTTATTCCTGTTTATGCATCGCTCGACTGTACAGTTAGAGCTTGGTCACCATTATTATATAAGGCATTTTCAAACCCGACGGCTCCTCGTACTGATGCAAATGTCCATTTATTTCGTTTGGCCATAAACCCGAAAGCCAACATACCAACTAGAACTATTAACAGTACAGTTATAACAATTCCTGCAACACCTCCGTCTGACAGTCCACTACTGTCATCTGAAATTATTAGGATTCCAATTTAATGTCGACCACATGTGCATTATTTCAATATTATTTTACATAGTATTGGACAGCTATCTAGTACTTCGGGTGAGACGAAAAACCGAGGTCCCGTGTATACATTGGAATGCACGTAAAAGATCCCTTGGCAGTTGGAATTCAATATAAGAGTAGGCGATAGTGCCGCTGCCCGGGCAAAATTTCCCTCATAGCACACTGTATGGCGTATGCCCGTCTCCATTAGCCCAGTATAGGAGCAGAACAGTAGGACGTTAAACCCCGGTTCATTTCATTTCATTTCATTTCGACTCCCTGGTAGTACGTGGCAGTGAGTAGGGTCACCTGTTCAACCTCGTGGGTTTTCTCCGGGTCATCTGCTTTCATCCTACAGCTAACCACGCACAATCGAATTATTGGAATAAAATAGAACCATATGGTAGTCCCGAAATGTTGTGTCGAGTGGATGTTAAGCCCATTCTTTCTCACATAGCATTTGATATTTGGGACTCGGACTGGTCGATTCCGTGGCTGGAACGTTCCGAATCAAAATAATTGCCAATCGAGTGACACGGAACTAACTTCCCTCACAGTTCGCACTGCCCAAGCGACTGATATGGCGTGAGGTGACGTCATCAAATTAGAGAGAGAGAGAGAGAGAGAGAGAGAAATGGGGTTTAACGTCCTCTCGACACAAACTAGGTCATTTCGGGACTAACATTTTTTTTTTTTTTTTTTAATTTTATTTCAATAATTCGCTTGCGCGTAGGGGTCTTTAGCAATGGGAGGAAACCGGAGGACCCGGAGAAAACCCACGAGGTTGGACAGGCGACCCTACTCCTTGTCACGTACAACCGGGGATTCGAAACCACGCCAGTCGACTCAATGACAGACTTTATGATACAGCGCGCGCACGCTAACCATTCAGCCATCCAACCCCCCTCATCAAATTAGAGTTAATCGTAACGTTATCACACTCAACAACAGAACATACATGTTTAAGCGTTTATGATTGGTCGAAATTGGTTACTACAATCTGCGTATGCTTTATATGCCCCCCCCCCTCCAACTCCAACCCTCTCTCGATTAACACTCGTTTTCGTGGGACCGGGGGACTTTGATTTCAGAATATTCCATCACGTATTTCTAAAATACGATAACTTACTAGTGTTTGGATTTCCTTGAATTTGACGAGCCTGAGTGATGGCACCATTTTGTCTGGTAAACTGTGTAGGTGCTGGTGTGACGACCGGAGTTACTGGTGCGTTCGTTTGAACGTTTCCTTGGGTAGCCGCTTTCTTTGTCGTTTGTTTAACCGGAGCAGCTGTTACCGTTGGAGTTAGGTTGTTTGGAAACAATGTCCTGGGGACATTATGTTGCTTGGTAACAGGAGCTGGGGTTTGACGTTTTGGAGTAATAGGTATGACGTTTGGTGCAGGCGTTTTTAAAGCTGAAATTAAACGTGGCATATTTTATTAATCGATTTGATAAAAAATTCTAAAGTAAAACCCATTAGGAACAGGGGATTGGATGACCGAATGGTTAGCACGTGCGAGCTGTATCATAAGGTCTGTCATTGATTCCCTCGTTGTACGTGACAAGGAGTAGCGTCGCCTGTCCAACCTCGTGGGTTTTCTCCGGGTACTCCGGTTTCCTCCTACTGCTTAAGACCCCCTACGTGCAAGCGAATGATTGAAATAAAATTAAACCATGCGTTAGTCCAAAAATGCCCTAGTTTGTGTCGAGTGGATGTTAAATACCATTTCTCTCTCTCTCCCCCTCTCTCCCCCCTTTCTCTCTCTCTCCCCCCTTTCTCTCTCTCTCTCTTTCTCTCATTAGGAATAAAACATCCCTTGGTGTCCATGGGTTATCTATAATGTCACCGTTCATTTCAACACGTTACAAATCGATATCTTCCATATCTTCACATTATTTGTCATCAATATATAGCCAATATGGCACCTTAAAGTAAAATCAAGCACAACCCAAACGTAATGCTGTTTAACGTCCTGCTTTCCCCACAAAAAAACGACATGAAATGAAATGGGGTGGGGTGGTGGTAGTGAGATGAAGGTAGGGTGAAGGTGGCGGGTGTTGGGTGGAGGCATAGGCGTACGAGCTGGGGGGGGGGGGGGGGGCTGGGGGGCGGGCGCCCCTCCATTTTGGGCACCAAATGCTGGGAAAATTTGGGCACACAAGTGTACTTTGTAAAAGTTGTATTAAAAAATATTGTGTTCTTGAATGTGTCCAATTTAACAGCGAATTTATTATTATTATGTAACATACTAAGAACCTAACTACATTTTTTGGGCACCAACCACCACCGCCCCCCCCCCCCAGTCAAAAATTTCCCCGTACGCCTATGGGTGGAGGTGATGCAAGGTAAAGATGTGGTGGCTGGGGTGTTACTTACCCATTAGTTTAACACAGATGTAGCCCTTTTTAAAACTACAGGTTAGGTCATTCCACCTCTGACTAGCAGCTATTCGAGCTACACAATTCTGTCTCGACTTGTTATTAACATCTGTAGGCTCATTTACATCCCAGTTCATATAGTTAGTTGGTGTACCATCACTGTACTGATAACCACCTGAGGGAAATACATTATAACATTTCAACTCGTACAGAACTTAACCATATACAAACAGTTTCAGAACTTCATAAATTGATTTTTATTTCAGAGTCGTTGTAATAACCAACTTCTTGGGGAATATCTGCCCTATAGCTTTGATGTGCCATCAGATGTTGACTGTGCAATTACATAATAACATAATCATATAGCCTCCAAATTAAATAGACTTTTGGATTACTCATCTTCTTGTTCTTGATGTTCCTGGAGTCCGCGCACTTCGAAAAAAAAGCATAAGACCCCGCCAGTTCCTTGGATAATTCGATTTTGATTTTGCGCCACAAAGTCAGTTTCTGGTTCATAGAACAGTGTTTTTTTTAGTTTCAATTTTGTGATAGTCAGGCTCTTGGGGAATGTCTGCCCATTAGTTTTGGTGTGCTATCATGTGATGGTTGTTGAAGGTGGGTGGAGTTGAGGTTTATATACAAGATCTTCAATATGCAAGTAAGGCAAATCTCTCTCACCACAAAAGGCTCGAATATATCGACAATTTGTTGGACAAGACTGTTTTGGACTGTTTTGCTATAAATAATTTTAGTTTAAATGCGGTGTTGATAATTGAATCCATGAGTTATTATTACGTTAAATCATACCAGAGGGTTATTATGAAGTTAAATCATACCAAGTCATGCCAGAACGTGTTAAATAAATTTAAATTATAAAATTAAATAGGGTTTTACCATTCTGTGCTCTCTGTAAGCCTAACCAGATATCTTTAGCTGAGTTTGTTATAAGTGATGAAATGAATGTATCCTCGTCCGCATTATGGATGCTGACCAGATCTGATCGGCTTCGTTTACACCTCGTATTGGCTGCAGACCATGATGCATTCCTGTTGGAATATTCCCGGTAGCAGCGGCCATTAAATGGTGTCCACCTCTTCTGACAAGTTGCAACTGTAGCCGGTGTTGTTAGGACCTGGGAAGCTGTTACGAGGGGAAGAATATCATATATAAAATACAGAGAATATGAATGTCAGGAGAAATTAAACATTCATTATGTAAGAGCTAAATCTGCCTATTGCAGGTCTTTCTTTAGGTCTGAAATGTTAATTAACTTATCCAGACCATAATCAACCCTCGATGGCATCGGATACTCGAGATTTTAACTGGATTAGATCGGTTCGCCATTTAAAATTTAATTTAAAAAAGGGAAAGCGCGGCTTAGACTCGAATATACCAGTGCCCTGGTTACCACAATGCACACATCTTGTCAAAACTACAAACAGTGATAACTTGGCTCAGAATGAAGAAATTTGAATGAAATTTTTAATATTTTCATTTTACATTATCTATATTTGAGCTATTATAGCAAGAATGATCAGATCTTTATCTAAATCTTATATAATGTATTTCGTTTAAAACGGGGACAAACGGGCTTAGTACCGTGTGTTTCCACGACCTGTGCCCATATGTCAGGAGTCTTCGTTAATATTAATGTATCTAAATGTTTCAAACAGTATATCTAAATGATGTTTCAAACAGTATATCTAAATGATGTTTCAAACAGTATATCTAAATGATAGTCCACATAGTAGTAAAGTGGGCTATAGTTAATCATATTTTAAGCTATTAAGGGATCTTTAACGTCATCTCAACGGCATACATGGGTCCTTTGGTGATTGAAAAACATCATGACCCCGTGTTATAGAGGGCAGTATTATCCCACGCGTTATAAAGAGCAGCACCACCCGGACCGTTATTGAGAGCAGCGGGACCGGGTATGTTATAGAGAGCCGCACTACACCCAAAATTATAGAAAGCAGCACTACCCCACGCATTATAGCGAGCAGCCCCTCCCCCCACCCCCGTCAGAGAGCAGCACGCGTTTTAGAAAGCAACAGTACTCTGCGATATAGAAAGCAGAAGTACCCCACGTTATAAAGAGCAGGACTAGCGATTTCTACAGAGCTGGAGTTTCGAGCCGTGTACAGAGCAACACTATTGAGAGCTACACCACCCCATGCTTTAGAGAGAGCATCTCCATCAGCACGTGTCATATTTTAAATTTAAAGAACTTACTGACAACTATTTCGCAGACATAGGTAAAAGATGCGTTACACCGGGAATCGTCCCATTTATTATTAACTCTCATGGAGACACACCCTTCTCCATCTTTCTTCGAGGGTTCATTATAACCCCAGTTGGTGTAGGTGACTCGATCAGAATTGACAATCCACTGATAATTACCAGCTTTCTACAAAACACATTAATCAAATATTGTCTGTTTTAAACATGACGGATGAGAGAAACAGAGAGAGAGATGGGTTTTAACGTACACTCGACACAAACTAGGTCATATTAATCATACAAGGTTCCCGCGGCTTCGTCAAACATTTTTTCAAGGATATTCAAGGATAAATATACGTCAAATTCAAGGATTTTCAAGGACATTTTTTAGCCTAAAGTTACAATTTTTCATCTTAAAAATAACCAAAACATTACCAACTATCGTTATAATCTCATATTTAAAAGGAATTGAAGACATTTGAAACAAAATTAAGGATCTCAACTGAAATTCAAGGATATTTTCCTATCTCCGCGAAATTCAAGGATATTCAAGACCTTGAAAATGAAATTTTAAATTTAAGGATATTCAAGGATTTTCAAGGACCGCGGGAACCCTGATCATATATTTTCTCCTATAAACAGGACGGATGACTTTTTGATCGACATTTGAAGAGAGAAAGAGGACACTTGTTGAAACGTTGCACTATTAAAGTTGCTAGTGATTGTTGTGTTCGTGTTTTTACGATTTCAACATACCTGCTTATCATTTAAACCCGTCCAAATATGGCCGTTGTTCTCGAACACCAATAACGACACAAATGACTGTTCATATACATTGGCTATCGACACCAGGTTAGCCCCCTCCGACTGACATTGGGTCTGAGCATCCGCCCAATTTCTCTTGGTTGTCTTCAGACCATAACAGCTTCCTGCAAATCGCTGGTAACCATTGGAGCAACCAGAAGTATTTGGACCCACGTTTGGCAAACTTGGACCTCAAAGATAAGGACATATAGTTTCTAGTAAGAAGAAACCCTCAAAAATAAGGATTTATAAATGAACACTAAAAAAATAAGGACAAATAGTCTCTAGTCAAAACACTAAAATAATAAGGATATATAAAGTCTCTAGGCAATAAACTAAAATAATAAGGATATATATATAGTCTCTAGTCAATGAGTTTTAAAAAAGGGAGTTTCTAGGCAATAAACTCAAAAATAAGGATATACAAGTTCTAGTAAAAAAACCTCAAAGACAAGGACAAATAGTTTCGAGTAAAAAAAACTCAAAGAAGGATTTTCTAGTATTTAAATAGAATCGACGAAGCAGAATTAAGATTTCCGCTGAGACAATATCAGGTAAATTGCTAGTCACTTGTTTATTAGAAAAACACTCTCCCACGTGTTTCAAATAGAGAAACTTTGTATTCAGAATAAACAGTACATATTATTGGATCGATGTCTATTAAAGATGCAATAAGTCTATGCATGTTTATTCTTGAACAATGTCCATTGTTCCATTGTTTATCTCTGTATAACGTCACTTACTATTGTTTATCTTTGTATATCGTCACGTACTATTGTTTATCTTTGTATAACGCCACGTTTATCTCTGAATAACGTCACGTACTATTGTTTATCTCTGTATAACGTCACGTACTATTGTTTATCTTTGTATAACGTCGCTTACTATTGTTTATCTCTGTATAGCGTCACTTACCATAAACCGACGTTAATTTGGTAGCCAACCAATTCAAAAATTAGAATTTTCAAACTCTGTATATGTAAAATGTGGTAAGATTGTAAAATAGTCGATTTGATTTGAATGTGTGAAACTTACTTCTAAGAGTTTGACAGATATAACTCTGTTTCATACGACATGGAGCGTCGACCCAAAATCCACCAGGGCTCTTACCCTTGGGTATTACTAAAACACAGTCTTGCTGCAAAACAATACATATAATTATAAAAACAGTTTGGCTGCAAAACATTTACATTTATGGCAATGTTTGGAGGCATTTATGTGGAACTTTTCACCACAAGAGTTCCACAAGATATTGGACTTCTGAAAAAGAAATATATTCCAATTCGAAGCCAGAGTTGGCGCAGAGGGGCTGTCTGGTCAAAATTTATATCATAGCAAACTGTATGGCACACGCCCGTCTTCAGTAGCCCAGTAGATTTGGTACAGAAATCACTATACCACAGTCTTGCGAGAAAAAAACAAAGAATCGCATATACTAACCCGATCGTGTTTGTTCTTTAAATTCTCATTGGGTTCGTTTTTGCCCCAGTTCGTATAAGTTACTTGCGAGTTATCCTGCCACATGAACAGTCCATTTCTTCTCATATCGTTAAGACCAATCCACAATCCGACTGGTAAACCTCTCAATAACGTGTTAATAGTTACTGTAACAAGAATTGAAGACACCGTTATATTACTGTAACAAGAATTAATATGTTTATAGTTATTGTAACACGACTTAACTTGTTTAAAGTTAATGTAACACGAATTAACAATAAGTAACGTGTTTGTAGTTATTGTAACAATGAGTAACGTGTAGTAACGTGTTGGTAGTTACTGTAACTGGAATTAACACATATTGTTCTATAAATAGATACTTTGTTTATATATGTGGTATATAAATATGTACATTGTTCTATATATGGTGTATAACATACATGCATTGTTCTATATATGGTGTATAACATACATGCATTGTTCTATATATGGTATATAAATATGTACATTGTTCTATATATGGTATTTAAATACATACACTGTTCTATATATGAGTTGATGCTAGCTATATCCACACCGGTTCCCATAGACTGACATGCTGCCCTGGCATCGGTATAATTCAATCGTTTCTTTACATCAACAGTTGCTGCCAAGTAATAACATTTACTCGCTGAAAATACACAATATTATAAATTATATTCATCTGGTGTTAATTATGGGCGCTTTAATCAGCCCATTTCAACAAGAGAGAGAGAGAGAGAGAGAGAGAGAGGGAGAGAGAGAGAGAGAGAGTTTAACATCCACTTGACACAAACAAGGTCATTCCGGGACTTGCAATTGGGGATCTTTAGCAGTGCGAGGAAACCGAAGGATCCGGGGAGAGAGAGAGCGAGAGAGCGAGAGAGAGATAGAGAGAAAGAGAGAGATGTGGTCTTTGCGTAGGGATCTTTAGCAGTGGGAGGAAACCGAAGGACCTGGAGAAAACCCACGAGGTTGAACAGGCGACAATATATCTTGGAATAAAATAAAATAAAATAAAATACATCCCGATCAAGCGTTATATATGGATGTGGAATCAAGCAAACGTAATCGCAACCATATTGGAATTGTGACGTTTGTCAATAGATGCATGCCAAGTTTACCGTCGATTATATTTGAATTGACGGAGTCTTGTGTTGTTGTTTTTTTCAAATAGCGTCGTCCCGAAAAACAACAAGATGAATCACGACTGGGAACCAGTTCATTGTTTATATCAGGAAATATCACTTTTAGTGTCATGGTATGAAAGGTCCCATGGTTACCCTGACAAAGAAAACGTTAAGAAATGAATAGAAACTGTCATTGCAAGGTCTTGAAATCTAAAATCCCGTAAGACAAACCTATCACCTATAAATTCATAAACAAAACCACTAAACCCAGACGATAAACCCATAAACTTATCAGACAAACCCATAAATCAAACCCATAAAACCCAGAAGTCCTAGACTCATAAACCCGTATGATAAACCCATAAACCCGTATGATAAACCCATAAACCCGTATGATAAGCCCCTAAACCCGTATGATAAACCCCTAAACCCGTATGATAAACCCATAAACCCGTATGATAAACCCATAAACCCGTATGATAAACCCATATACTCAGAAAACACGCCCGCTTACACGACACACAATATAAACAGGCATTGCAAGTAAGGACGAGTACCATTCACAATGTAACGTAGGCTTTCTATTTCAAGAACACTCGATACCACCTCTCATTTGTAGAGCTTAGACAGATAATAAATACCCAAGTATAAGTAATGTCAAATTTAAATAGATTCTTTACAGAGATGTCACGACAAATAAAAAAATGGATTCCAATCTAGAAATAAACGACATTTGAAAATATTTTCTATAGCTTTTGGTATACAAACATTGATTAAGAGCTACTGTGGTTCTTTCATGGACTTAACAGTTTCCTTATTTGTGTTGTGTTTTTTTAATTCCGATTTAACCAACCTGTAGTACTGTAAACACATTTGATCTAAAATCTATAATAACGAACCTAATGTATTGATCCAATCGATTCAGAGAGAGCGAAGTTGCTTATTTTAATAACAACTATAGAATAGTCTTATGTGTCTGTTGGGAAAAACTTAAAAATCCTTTTAAGTTCAAAAACAATTTTTAAAAAAAATCTATTTAAAAATAATGTTTCCTTCTTCTTTGTAACAAGTCTATGTTTGTTTCTAATGCAACAATTGGGATCAATAAATAGTAAATACTGTACGTCATATATACAGATACAGTACGTCATATATACAGATACTGTACGTCATATAAACAGATACTGTACGTCATATATACAGAAACTGTACGTCATATAAACAGATACTGTACGTCATATAAACAGATACTGTACGTCATATATACAGATACTGTACGTCATATATACAGATACTGTACGTCATATATACAGATACTCTACGTCATATATACAGATACTGTACGTCATATATACATATGCTCTACGTCATATATATAGATATTGTACGTCATACATACAGACGGTGTACACAAATACATACAAATACTGTACGCAACAGTCCAAAAAATGACATATACGATTAGTACCGCTTGAGAACAGACAAGAAACTAGAAGGCCGACATTTGATTTCCTAATTTGGCAATTTTACACACTAAGTATACTTTGAGATAACTGCGCTTACATTTAATTGAATTCAAAATGGCTATTCATTCTTTGTGTGTATGAAAGACGTAAAACGTATTAGAAATTAGAACCGCATTACAAAATAGTACACACTAATATTTCACTATATGGTGACTATTCATGGCAGAGGTCTATTCTCAAAGGAGCTTGTTCTCTGTGCGCAAAATGATAAAATGATAGACAAAATCTAGATAACAGCAAATGGACCTTTTGTATAAACCTTTTGTATATTCATCATCATTTGTTTGATGACGTTCAATATTATGCTTTTATGTTTCTTATATTAAAGTTTTATAATTTAATATAAACCCCATTGGCTTTGCCTACTCCATTACAGACTAGTGGAATCAATGTATATATTCTATATCCCTTTGTTTTCATTTCAATAATAGAATAAAACATCTCGACTTGGAATACAAGACAAAATGGCGGCACATCTGGCGAAATATATATGAAAAATATCTGAATTTCGCAAAATATAAACACAGTCAGTCAGCTGGCATACAACCACAGACACAGACTAGCCATAGACACATAGAATTACTCAAACTAAATAAAGAAAAATACAGCTATGAACCTATCAGTAGACACCAGTGAATACTCAATTGGGATCACGTGGTTCTTCACCATTTTGTAGTGTGAAGTTCAAAATTTCGCGGCACACCTAAAAAGATCTCGCGGCACACTGCGATATCAACCTTGGTGATAGTGGACGTTAACTCCGATTATACTACTATCGGCCTTAAAGACTGGGTTTCCACCTACGTCTAGTCGAATTCCATCTTGAAAGGGTTCTTTTACGTGCACGAAAACGTACACACTGGACCCATGGTTTTCGACCCATCCCAATGAGTAGACGCTTTTCATTGCTAGGCCCTCCGTACTGTAGCACTGACTGGAAAATGGAGAGAAACTTCTCGATCATCATTGGGATCATCTGATTAGTGAACCAGCACCTTTATCGCTGAGCCAACGAGAACCCCGTACTACTAATACAACTCATTGTAACCAGCATACAATAATCCAAAATTTGTAGCAATGTTGGGTTCTCTAGATAAGTGTGCTTTATATGATACACCATGTAAATAGGACTAACAGTATCTTTAAGACACATGTCTTCGCTTGATCTGATTCGACTTGGCTTGTAGCCAACGGAGAGATGATTTGTCGAGAGAGAGAGCGAGTGAGCGAGAGAGAGAGAGAGAGAGAGGCGGGCGGGTGTTAACTTTCACTCGACACAAACTAGGTCATTTCGGGACTAACATACGGTTCAATTTTGTTTCAGTAATTCGCTTGCACGTAGGTGTCTTTAGCAGTGGCAGGAAATCGGAAGACCCGCAGAAAACCCACGAGGTTGGACAGGCGGTGTTACTCCTTGTCACGTACAACCGGGGAATCGAAACCATTCGGCCATCCATCCCCTCTGATCTGTCTGGGGTAGACTAGTTTTTGTCAGTAGCTGAAACCAGAATCAAGTGTTGGGAGTTCGATCTCTAACCTCGAGGGTTTTCTATAGCAAATTATTAAAATGTATTATATGCCAATCCCGAAATGATGTAGGTTTTTTGTTAATCACTGTTCCAAAGAAAATCTTCGACCTGACTAATGGTGAACAGTATTAACATATAGTTCAGTCTATTGAAAAACTAAACGAAATGAAATGGGTTTTAACGACCTCCTGTTCTGCTCTGACTGGGCTATTGAAGAAGGTATTGGAAAACTACATCTTGAAACGGATAGCAAGATAATACGTCAGTAGAAAAAAAAGTCTCTTTCTTCAGAATCATTGAACTTTGATGTACGAGATTGTTGAATAGATACAAGAATAACAGATCTGGTGTCTCTAACAACATATTGATTGTAGGCTGACGTAAAAAACCGACTTAACAACTGTGCTACACATTGTTTTATATTCCAATCAATGGGGGGGGGGGCAATAGTTAGCGCGTGTGCGTTGTATCATAAGGTCTGTCATTGAGTCAA